TCCCAAGTGCTGGGATTAAAGGCGTGCACCACCACCGCCCGGCCAGTGTATGTGAATTTAAACAAGAAAATCTCCACTGGCCTGAGTTTATACCCAGGCTGACAGTATCCTGCTTTCTGGTTGCTGACTCTTCCGGAACAGAATGGAAACCCTATAAATCAAGCATCCTGCCATTCACTAACATATCTTGCTCATTAAAACAGCTGAGGTTGGATCAGTGAGATGGTGAGATGACTCAGCCAGCAAAGGGACTTTCTGTTCAAATCTGGTGACCTGAGTTCAATTCCTTGAAGCCAACAAGAGATAGAAAGGAGAACTGACTCCAAGAACTGGCTTCCACATGTACATTGTAGCATGCCTGCTCCCGGTACACATATGCACATGTATACATGACAATAAATAAAAAATTATAAACATCTAGTATTGGGATATGTTTATATGTCACAGGGTGTTCATCTCCTCCAGATCCTTATGGTGAAGACCTCACCCTTGCTACCCCAGAATGTTATGTATTTGGAGATGGGATCTTTAGAGGTGACTAAATTAAAACAGAGATAATAAAGTAGAACCTGCAATACCCTCCCCCTTCTTAAATTTTTTAGAGCCAGAGTCTCATTGGATAGCCTTGACTGGTCTGGACTAGAACTAGACATGCTGGCCTTGAACTCACTGAGAAGTGCCTGCCTCTGCTATACTGAATGCTAGGATTAAAGGTGTACACACACACACACACACACACACACACACACACACACACATACAGTATCTCTTAAAAAAAATTCAAAGTCAGAGCCGGGCGATGGTGGCGCACGCCTTTAATCCCAGCACTCGGGAGGCAGAGGCAGGCGGATCTCTGTGAGTTCGAGACCAGCCTGGTCTACAGAGCTAGACCCAGGACAGGCTCCAAAGCCACAGAGAAACCCTGTCTCGGGGAAAAAAAAAAAAAAAAAAAATTCAAAGTCAGGCATGGTAGCACATGCCTAAAATCTCAGCACATAGTTGTTTGATTAAAAGTGAGACCTCAGGGGCTGGAGAGATGGCCCAGGGGTTGAGAGCATTGCTGCTCTTCCAGAGGACCGGGGTTCAATTCCCAGCATCCATATGGCAGTTCATACCTGTCTGTATCTCCAGTTCTAGGAGATCTGATGCCAATGCACATAAAATAAACTTAAAAAAAAAAAAGTGAAGCCCGGCGGTGGTGGGGCATGCCTTTAATCCCAACATTAGGGAGGCAGAGGCAGGCGGATACCTATGAATTGAGGCCAGCCTGGTCTACAAGAGCTAATTCCAGGACAGGCTCCAAAGCCACAGAGAAACCCTGTCTCAAAAACCAAAAAAAAAAAAAGTGAGACCCCCCCCAACCCTCTGATACCCCTATATCCAAGGCGCCTGGGATGATTGGAAGCATCACCCTAGCTCCTCCCCCTGGGAGTTGCCTTGGTTCGGACTCCACCTCTGGAAAAGCCCACCAAGAGCTGACCCCTCACCAGGGAAGGTCAGGACCACTCCCGCAAACTATTTAGGCTGCTGCCCAGGGAAGGAACACGTGGTCTCCAGGTTTTGCTGGGTATCCCCTGTCTCTCTTTAGAGAGCTCTGCAGTAAACATGGGCATTGATTTGATCTAATTTGGTCTGATTGGAATTATTTGCGTAGGTAGAGAGGCTTGTCTTAAGACTATTCCTAACAATAGTGAGCTCCAGGTCTGGGTAACATAACAAGAGTCTGTTTCAAGGAAATAAAACCAAAAAAGAAAGAAAGGGAAGGTGAGGGAGAGAAGGGAGAAATGGAGGAGGAAGACAGGGAAGAGGAGTTGTAGAGGGAAGATGATGTGGAGGCTAAAAGGAAGAGGAGAAGGGGGAAGAGGAAGAGCAGGGAGGGGGGAGGAAGAAGAGAGGGAGGGGGAAGAGGAGGAGGAGAAGAAGGGGGAGGGAGAGGAGAAAGGGGAGGGGGAGGAGAACTGTATGAAAGGGGAAGAGAATGAGGATGAGGAGGAAGCACTGAACAGACAGAGATCTTAAAAGTCTACACGTGAAGGAATGGCCTTGTGAGGACATTTTCTTTTTCTTTTTGGTTTTTCGAGACAGGGTTTCTCTGTGGTTTTGGAGCCTGTCCTGGGACTAGCTCCTGTAGACCAGGCTGGTCTCGAACTCACAGAGATCCACCTGCCTCTGCCTCCCGAGTGCTGGGATTAAAGGCGTGCGCCACCACCGCCCCGGCTTGTGAGGACTTTTTCACCAGAGGCAGCCATCCACAAGTTTGGGAAAGCGGCCCATGAGAGCCCAGATCTGCCAAACGTCCTCACCCTAGACTTCCCACTCCAATTCTGAGAGAGAAAAAAAAAAATCCATTTCTGTTCCTTAGGGTTTGGTCTGTGGTGTTCTGTTACAGTAATTCTAGCGAATTAGCACCTCTGCTCTGCATTAGTGGGTAGAGATGCCCCTGGAGTTAATAACCCACATAGGTGATAAGGTTGCTCAGCCAGGCACTAAGCACATGGTGTTTGTTTTTTGTTTTACTTTAGCAGATTCTCTCTGTGTAGTCCAAGCTGGGCTTTAAATCCTTTTTAAAATTTAACTGTGTTTGTCTGTGTTAGTGGCGTGTGGGTACAGGTGTGCTAGGGCAAGTGTAGGGCAGTCACAGGACGACTTGCCAGAATTTGTTCTTGCCTCCTAGGGAGGGATCTCATGTTTTCAGGTTTGTCAGCAAGTGTCTTTACCCACTGAGCTATCTTTTTTTTTTTTTTTTTGGTTTTTTTTTTTTTTTTGGTTTTTTGAGACAGGGTTTCTCTGTAGCTTTGGAGCCTGTCCTGGAACTAGCTCTTATAGACCAGGCTGGCCTCGAACTCACAGAGATCTGCCTGCCTCTGTCTACCAAATGCTGAAATTAAAGGTGTATGCCTCCACACCTGGAAACCCACCAAGCTGTCCCTGGGAGTCAAATCTTTTTATATTTTATCTTTGTGTATATGTGTATGTGTCTATGTGAATGCTGTGCATATGTGTTCGGTTTGGGTACCCTCAGAGATCAGAAGAGGACTTCAGATCCCTCGGCACTAGAACTAATAGGATTTGCGAGCCACCTGACCTAGGTCTTAGGGTCTGAACTCTATCTAGTCCTCAAGATGGAGCAGCAAGTGCTCTTAACTGCTGCAGAACCAACTCTCCAGCCTCTGGACTTAGAACCTTGATCCCCCTGCCTCAGGCTCTCTAGAGCTGGAATCAGGAACACACTACCAAGTCCAGCATACTTAGGGTGTTTTTAGCACAATGAATACTAACAATAACCCTGTGAGGCAGACTCTATTATGATGCCCTTGTTATAAATAAGGAAATGAACGAAGGCTAAAATAAATGGAGGGAGGGGGGAGGAAGAAGGGAGAAAGGATCACTTTTCTTGGCTCACACATTCTGAAAGTAACTAGGAGCTGAACCCTGTTGCCTGGGATCTGGAGGTTCTAGTAAGTTAACTGTGGTCGTTCCCTGCTCATAACTCAGACAGGAACTGGAGGGCTCAGACTCTGGTGTCCCACATCCCTGCAGCCAACCAGGGTGTGGTGGAACCAGAATTTCAAGTTCTCTGAAGTCACTACACACCAGAGCTCTGGAACTCAAGAATGCTACCTGTGGTTAGTCGGAGGAAGGAGAAAGACCCAACAGAAGGAACAAGGGCAAAAATCCTGAACCAGGGGATGGAGAGATGGCTCAGTGGGTAAAGGTACTTGCCATTCAGGCCTGGTGACCGGAGTTCAATCCCCAGAACCCACTTAAAGGGGGAAGGAGAAAACAATCCACAAAATTGCCCTCTGACCTCCACATGTGGGCCACACATACACACAGATGCATGGGTGCCTGTGCGCTCACACACGCACACATGCCCGCGCACACACAACCTAGAGATCCATGTAAACCTCGACAGGTTTACAGGGGGGGAAGAGACAACTGAGCCTGAATCTGGGAAGGCTTGAAAGGGGAGACAGCACCAAGCACAGGGCTTTGAAGAGCACTTGGCTGCTTTGTATCCCCTACGGCCCTAAGAAACATACATGGGTCCTACAATCAAACTCCGTGCCAAGACCGAGACAGTAAAATCTGGCCCAAGACCACACAGGCAGAGCCTCACTCAAGCCCCGGCTCTGTCGCACTCACCTTCCTTCTCACTTTTAGTTCGCGCATTCGCGGCCTGCTCGCACGCCAGGGGCTGACAGCGCTGGGATAAAGTGTGCTGCAGCAGACCCGCGTAGGGTAGCTGGACCTAGCAGGGTGAGCTAAACTGGCCTGTGGGCAGATTGAAAGAAACAGCTGGGTGGCCACCAGTTGAAGGTGGTGGCGGCGCCTCTGGAATTTCCCTCTCACCTAGCCGATAGCCTTCTCCCCAGTCACAGAACAGCATGGTGGGGGGGAGGGGGCTTCAGCCTCGACCCCTAGGGTTGTGTAACTCTCTAAAGTCCAGTTCATCATCCCCTCCCCCACCGCCACCACAGAGGGGAGGGGGGTGGACAATCAACAAGTGCTGAGAAGAAGGAAGGGCCTTTGGCAGACAAAATAACTCCCAGGGGCTGGGGAAGGAGGGAAAAGCAGGGAGCGCAAGAGGCGGAGCCAGGGGAGGCAGCCAAGGAGACCCAGGAGCAGGGTACCAGAATAACACCAAGGCTTGCAGACAAGCTCTGCCCGGGATAGGGGGTGGGGGTGGGGAGGAGGGGGAGTGTGGGGGGGGGGTAGGCTCTGCTGAGACCACGCTCAGGTTCTTAAGGGGCAAGAAACACACCCTTAACCTCTATGGCAGTGTGTGACGAACTGATGCCCTGACACCAGGTAGACACTCCTCTCACACAGGGACCGAATCGGAATTGAGGTCACAATAAAAATCAAGAGACCGATAAGGGAAGACATCGCTAGCAAATGGGATTTCGTAACTACTAGGGCTGTAACAGAGGAAAGGAATGCAAATAAGAACTCAGGACCAAGCGGAGTGACCCACAGAGGCGTGTCAGCATGGGCAGGCCAGCCCAACAGCACCTACAGTGTGGTGACTCACGCAGAGCAGTAACTTGGCAGTGCAAGGCGAGCTGTGTGCAGGAACCCGGCACGTGTCGTGTGGCGTGGAAGAGTGAGCAGGCAGTCAGCCTCGGAACGTTCTATGAGCCGTGACATCGGCTCGATTCCACGGTGAGGGCGATGGCAGACCACTCACAGTTACGATCGGTGGAGGTGCGTACTGAGTTTTCAAAGTCTCTTTGATAGCAATGTGGCTAGATGCTAGCGGTGTGAGGGTCAGTGTGTAAAAGCGAACCGAAAATCGGTTAAAAAAAAAAAAGGCAAAGAACTGAAAAGGAGGATGAAGGGTTCATGCCGAAAATCTCTTAGATTGATTCAAGATTAAGTTTCAGGGGTAACACAAGGGGAGAAGGGTGACTTCGGGGCGGGTCATGGTGGGATTAGCAGAAATAGAATCAGAGGAGAAGGTGTTAGAGAGGGAGACTAGGAGGTGAATCCCTGGGATGGCAACTTTGATTTGGCCTTGGGGCTGTGCTAGAGCATTTGCTTAACACAATAAGCCCTGGGTTCAAATGGAAGGCACACCGCACCACAGTTTGATGTGTCGTCGTTTAGAAGGACAACAGCATGACAATAACATAATAAAAATGACACCCCCCCCCAAAAAAAAACCCTGTAGCACAAATTCTAATTGGGCTTCATAAATAAAAACCCAGAGTCAGATATTAGGGAGTGAAAGCTGAGAGCTCAGAGAAGCAGTGTAACTAGCCACTAGAGAGACCTTTGACCTCTACCCTACCGAATCCTCAGACTGAAGGACCAATCCTGTCTCTATCAATCCTCAGACTGCATCCTCCAGTTGACTGCTCCAAACTGCTGCCTCAGACTGCATCTAAGCTCCTGTCTCCTCCTGCCTCATAGTCCTCTCTCCTTCCAGCCACATCCTTTCCTGTGTTAGGATATATCCACCTCCCTAGTGTTAGGATTAAAGGTAAGTGACTCCCAAATCCTGGGATTAAAGGGATTAAACTACTGGCTGGCTGTTTCTCTTTAAGACTGGATCAATCTAGTGTAGCCCAGGGTGGCCTTGAACTCACAGAAATCCCTCTGCCTCTGTCCCCAAAGTGCTGGGATTAAAGGGGTGTGCCACCAAACCTGGCCTCTATGAGGAACTAGTGACTTAACTCTGCACTCTGATCTTCAGGCAAGCTTTATTTGTTAGATCACAAACAGAATATCACTACAAAAACCCTATGCAAATCGTGAGGAAAATACCTTATTTAACGCGTTGGCTGTCAACAGCCCCACCCCATCCTTCTCTTGTTTGTGACAATTTAAGAATGTAAACAGTGTCACTAGTCCTCTGTCACAAGGAACATACCTGAAGAGACATGTGTCCTTTCAGGAAGGAAAAAAACTTTTCCTCTCTGTGTCTTACTGGAAGAGTCAGATGTGAGTCATCAAGAATATAACAACAGTCCTGGGGTCTATGGCTCCACTTCTACAAGGTGTTGTTCACACGTAAGCACAGAAAAATGGAAATGGAGTAAATAAGGACACTATGACACATCATGCAAGAGATAACTGAGGGCAAGCTCTGTGGCTAAGCTATGGGAATTCAAGCGCAAAAAAGGAAAATGAGCCAAGCACACAGACCCTACAGAACACTTCAGTGCAAGGGAGCATCGCCTAAGAAGGTCTAGCTGAATAGCTGAATCTTGGTTTTAGATTCAGAGGCCTGAATTGGGATTCCAGTCTTGCTTCTCACACTTTCTGTGACCTTGGGGGTGGGGTGGGGTGTCTTAATTATTCAAGGCCTTGGTTGGCTGGACGGGTTGTAAGTGACTGAGGACAGCTGGGAAAGGGCAGGCACACAAAGCTCCTGTACAACCACACAATCTTGGCCAGGCAGCTGCTCCATGGCTAATGAAGAAAGAAGGTACCACCCAGAAAGATCTAGAAAGTAGATGAGAAGGTGTAGATGACCAGAAGAGAGGGACACCACTGGCAACTCACAAGAGGAGCCCTCATTGCTAAAGTGAGACTCAAAAAATGTCCTCTGGATTGAGCAATTAGAAGGCCACCGTTCCTCTAGACTTTGGACCAGAGTTATGGACCGGGGAACTTAGAAGAAGGGTCAGCAAACAGGATCCAAGTCCAAGGTCCTTCCTTGGCTGGCTGCAAGAGAGCTGTTCTGAAAGTTCCTCTCTGTTTCATGACTCAGAAGCGCTCGTTTGGGGTCTGAAAGTGTAGCTTAGTTGGCAGTGTTCTCACCCAGCATGGATAGAGGTCTGGGCTCAGAACTGAGCACTATACCCAGCTGAGTGTGGTGGTGGAAGCTGGGAAGTAGAGACAGAAGGTCAGGAGTTAAAGGGCAACTTCTGCTATACAGTGAGTTTGGAATTAGTCTGGTGTGCAGAAGAGCAGAGAAGAGGAGAGAGGAGGAGAGGGGAGGGAAGGAGAAAGGAGAGGATAGACGGGAAAGGAGGGAAGGGAGAAGAGAGGAAAGAGGAGGGAAATGAAATATCCCCTCTTCGACCTATGCTCTAATTCTTTGTGAATGAAGAAAAACCTCCTTACCTTTTGTCTTTTGGCCTTTAACCGTCATCTTTCCAGCCCCTGTGTCAAAACCTTTTGGAGAGTTTGTTTGCACTAGCATTTTATTGCTGCGTAGCTGTTTTTCTGTCTGACATATTTCTCAAACATTTAAAAAGTTAACAAACAAAAACAAAGAAATTCCAAACAACATATGTGCTTGGCAATAAATTCAAAAAGTCCAAGCCCCTCCCTCTGTCTACTATCAGAGGCAAAGTTATGGGACTAGGAAAGTTGTAGGAAAAAATCATGGAATCTGGCAAATTCTCCTTTAATAAAGGACAACAGTTGCTTTTCAGACTCCTTTGGCCATCTTCACGTTTGTCAGGGCTGTCACAAAAAGCCTGCTCTGTTACCCTTTGCCGAAGTTCTCTGGACTATCCAAACAGGGGCAGCCCTGGAGCAAGGTCAATTTCGTGACCTCCTTCCTGCCACCCCGCCCCCTCCTGACTCTCTCAGCTCCCCAGAGGCTGCTAAACTGCGACAACTGCAGCTGCTACTGTTTCCTGACTCTGGAGGAGAAAGCAGGCTTAGGGCCAGGTCTACTGTCCAGGGCTTCCATGGAAGATGCTGGAGGAGAGCAGCACCTCGTCTGTCAACATCACTGACCTCTGCAGAGCATCTGGACTGCAGCATGCACAGTCCAGAGGTTCAGCCTGTGCTTTTCTGCTCCTGGCTTGGTTATTCAAACCAAGCACTGGGAAGGCCGTGGTGGAGGTGGTGGTGGAGGTGATGGCTGCGGTGGTGGCTGTCCTAGCACTTGGGAAGCAGAGGTAGGGGGATCTCTGTGAGTTTGAGGCCAGTCTGGTCTACAAAGTAAGTGCCAGGACAGCCAGGGCTGTTACGTGGAGAGACCCTGTCTTGAAAAAACAAACAAACAAAAACAAAACAAAAAAGAAACAACAAGAAAAAAACCACAAGCTCTGGGTCCTTACTCTGGTATTCAAGCAGAGAGTTGGCCGTCAAATGCGAATACGAATGCGAATACGAATTAAGCATCATCCTCTCCTCCAGGCTGTTGGGACTAAGGGATGCATATTAACCACCCCGTTCCCTGAACACTGTACCCTTCACCAGAGCTTGCACACTTCTTCTGGATCCAATAATATCTTTGCCCCTATCGAATAAATCCAGGTTGACGCTTACATTTCAGCTCGTAGTCGCAGCATGCTGCAGAGTGAGTTCCTGTACTGGGAGAGGCTGGGGAGACAACACCTTGTCCTTAACCCATCTCAGGATTCTGTGCCCAAGATCCGCAGTGTGGGCAGTGGTACACTGGAAGACAAGTAAGCTTTCATCTGTCTCTAGCTCTGAGTGACAACCTCTTGTTGGGTGGGTGGGTATGGCAGACGTGGTTGAGAGAACACAGAGCTGGGCTGATAGATAGAACTACATGGGGGTGAATTAGATCACTAGATTCCTGGGCACAGGCCCGAGCCTCATCCTTCTGATTCTAGAGGAAGCTTCAAAATAGAGCAAGCATTTATGTTTTGTTTTCCTCTGTAATTTTGGAGCCTATCCTGGAACTAGTTCTTGTAGACCAGGCTGACCTCAAACTCACAGAGATCTACCTGCCTCTGAGTGCTGGGATTAAGGGCATGCACCTACTGCCTGGCAAGCAAGGATGCTTTTGTCCAACAGGTATTTATGAACGTCGTTACTTGACTGGCACTGATACCTGATGTGCTGGGTGCTGGTGGGCAGGGTCCTGTGTAGATGATTATGAGGTGAAGAGGAGATTTACTAGGACACTAAGAGTTCAGCAGAAAGAAGAGAGGTGGAGCTCAGCTGGTAGTGTGCCTGGCTAGCATGCAATGCACGAAGCCTGGGACTGACCCCTAGTACCCCATAAACTATGTGTGGTGGTACCAGCCTGTAATTCTAGCACTGAGGAGGTCGAGGCAGGAAAAACCGAAGTTTGAGGTCATCCTTGGTTACATAGTGACTTTGAGGTCAGTGGGGGCTTTATGAGATTGCCTCTAGAAGAGGAGTCATTGGGTGAGAGCAACGATTCCCTCATCCAAAACCAACCTCTGAACAGGCGGTACACCGAAGACCTTCCTAGGCGGGAAGAATGCTTCACCACGGATGACAGCCAAGGTGGCTCCCAGGATGAAGCCCTCCAAATCACTATGTTGCCAGCAGGCTAGCAAGGCTGAAGAGACAAGAGGTTGACAGACTAGTCACTTCTGAAGTCGGTCACATAAGTTACGGTGGAGGAAGGCTAGGACGCTCCAAGACGAGGCCCTATTCTACTCCCCAAGGGACATTTAGTCAATAGCTTAGGCTAGGTAGGTACCTCGGGGCTAGGCAGAGGGCTAGCTAGCAAACACCATGGGGAAGCCTAGCGTGATCTGAGACCTGGAGGATACTAACTTAGAATCCTGAGACACGACTCTGACATCATGAGCCTGGGCTGAGGAACTAGCTGGTGATGGGCCATGAGAGCTGGAAAGAAATGCTGGTACCTGGTCTGTGCCCTCTGTGGAGGGCACGATGCGGGGGGGGGGGGCATTTCCACCCCACTCACTCTGACACACCCTCCCCTCATGCAGATTGAAAAAGTCAGTGGCATGGCTCCATTTGAGTTGGGCAAATCCACTCTATCAGAGAAGCAGATGGCTGGGAGAGGGGAGGAAGAAGATGAAAACTTGCACGGTTGAGAACAAACCGACTGAGCCTGCAGCGGACTACCCAGCAAAGCGCTTTTTATCATTTTGGTGATGAACTGGATTATGTGTGTGTGTTGTGAGGGAATCAGTTTAGGAAGACTCTTGAGCTTCTGGCTGTGGTGAGGAGCAGCAAAGGGAAGGATGGACAAGGAATTAGGAGAGGATATAGTTCTGTTTAGGAAATGCGGTGTTGGTGGTTGGTACGGAAGGGCATCCATGTGGCTGTGGATCTGGTACTAAAGGAAGACCTGCCTTGAAAATATATACGAATTGGGAGAGGCAGGTTTTGGTTTGGCCAACAAGCATGGAGATCAGAGTTCAGATCCCCAGAACCCATGCAAACACCAAGGCGTGGTGGTAGGCCTGTAATTCCAGCCTTGGAAGGGGGAGAGAGGGACTCTGGAGTGAACTGGCTAGGGGAAGTAGCCATACTGGTGAGCTCTAGGTTCTGACTCAGTGAGTAAGGTGAAGAGTAATTGAGGATGAGTCCTGACATCAGGGCCTCCATATACATGTACCTCTCCACATACACACCTGCCCACATACTTGTAAAGATGCATGCAAGCAAGCATGAACACATATACCATACAAACATGAAAAATAGAGAGAAAAAATTAAGAACAGAGGGCACCAACATCCACAGATACATATATATTAAGAAAAGTTTTCAGGTGGTGGTGGCAATTTAATCCCAGCACTCGGGAGGCAGAGGCAGGTGGATCTCTGTGAGTTCGAGACCAGCCTGGTCTACAGAGCAAGTTCCAGGACAGCCACAGATACACAGAGAAACCCTGTCTCAAAAAACAAAAAAGAAAGAAAGAAAAATATATAGTAAGAAAAATGAAAACAGCATTGGAGGGATAGATAAAGTCCTAGCTTTGTTTTTTGTTGTTGTTGTTGTTGTTAGTTTTTTTTTTCCTTGTGACAGGATTTCTCTGCAGAGCCCTGGGTGTCCTAGAACTCAGACTGTAGATCATGCTGGCCTCGAACTCAGAGATTGACCTGCCTCTGCCTCTCTCAAGTGTTGAGGTTAAAGGCGCATGCCACCAAGTCCCGCTAAAGTCCTTGTTTTGTAAGAACAAAGGTCTGAGTTTGATCCCTGGAAGCCACAACTAAAAAGCCTAAAAACAAAAACAAAGGTTGGGTATGAGGGTAAACATCTTTAATCCAAGCTCTCTTGAGGCAGAGGCAGACAGATTTCTAAATTCAAGGCCAGCCCAGTCTACAGAGTGAGTTCCAGGCCAGCCAAGGTGACATAGAGAAACCCTGCCTTGACAAACCCAAAATAAATACATAACTATATAACAAAACAGACAACAACAACAAAAACAGATGTGGTAGCTTGTATTTGTAATTTTAGCATGGGGAGATGCCTGGGGCTTGCTGGCCAGTCCGAGGTGAGACACTGGTCTCCTAGGTCAGGGAGAGACACTGTCTAAAAGTAAAAAGAAAGAAAAAGATGGGCAGTGCCTGAGGAATGGCACAAAAGACAAGGATAACAATGACAGATGTACACATGCACTCTCCACAGAGAGGCATCTCCGCCCCCACAGAGAAGTACATGTGTACACACACACGCACACACGCACACAGATTCAGAAAACAAATGAAAAGCAGAACAATAACCAGGCTGAGCATAGTGGCACACACGGATGTTTAGGTACTCAGGGAGTTGAGGCAGGAGATCAGCAATGTTTGAGGTCATTAAAGACTCTGGCCTCAAATTTCAGTTTAAAACAATCTGAGGAGGTAGTCCCGCAGTGTAGGGCTTGCCTAGTATGCTTGAGATCCTGGGTTCAATTCCTGGCCCGTGGGGGACAGTTTCAGCTTGGTTAAACTGTCCAGTGCAACAGCTTGGATACAAAATTCAGTGAAGATGTTGAACATGTCAATCAAGAAGCCATCGGTGACCTTTTCGAGGGCAGATTTACTATGGTGAGGGTAGGATTTATTTAAAAACACTCAATTACCCAAATATACAGGCAGAAAATGGGACTACGATGTCTTTATTACTAGGCAGAATTTAAAATCGCAGTCCTTTTCTAGGCTTGGCAAACAGGCAAGGAATGTAGCAGTGTAGGAGAGAACCGGATGAACAATAGCACCATGCAGAAGAACAGTGAGCATGGATTAAACATTCTCTGAAGACAGGCAGCCTCAGAGCCAAGCTGACAGCTCAGCAAGACCTTCAAGTATCGGGACTTTTCTTTTTCTGTTATGCAATCCTAACCATGTTGGCTTTTGTCCTTGTCCTCATCCTCATGGTCACAAAATAGCAGCTCCAGCTCCAAGCATCACATGCTCACGTGCCAGTGCCTAAAGCAGAAGAGAGAGGTGGGGTTCAGATGAGGCTTCACCATGCTCCACTCTCCCTCATTAGCTAGTCTTCGTTCCCACATCCTCCTCTAGACCAGTCTGGGGAAAGGTAAATGAGAGGAAGCAAAGCCGCTGGCAGAGACCGTGATTCCCATCCTAGGGCTGGGCACATGGCCCCTGGTACAGGAAGAAAGGAGTTTGGTCTCAGTGCCTTAGGCTTGTTATTACAGCTACTCTTGAGGCTGAGGCAGGAGAAGGGCAAGTTCATTCAAGTCGATCCTGGATAATTTATCAAAATTCTGCTTTAGAAATTAAAACAAAGCCAAGTGTGGTGGTCTCAGCACTCAGGAGACAAAGGCAGGAGGATCTCGGTGAGTTTGAGGCCAGCCTGGTCTACAGAGCAAGTTCCAGGACAGGCAGAGCTACACAAAGAAATCTTGTCTTGAAAAACCAAACCAAACCAAACTAACATACACACTCACTCACATACACACACACACACACACACACACACACACGTTGAATTAGGAGCAGCGGGGCTGCGTCCCCGGCACCCGGCCGCCCGCATGGCTAGCTTATGCCCAGAAATAATTACACGGAAACTGTATTCTTTCAAACACTGCCTGGCCCGGCTAGTTCCAGCATCTTATTGGCTAGCTCTTACATATTGTTCTAACCCATTTCTAATATTCTGTGTAGCCCACGAGGTGGCTTACCAGGGAGGATCTTTTTTTTTTTTGAGGGGTGCAATGAACTTTATTGATGGTATTCAAGAGAGTAGGGCTCCCTAAGCCCCCTCCTGCTATTCTGGGGGTCTGGGATGGAAACTGTGAGGGAGATGCTCAGTGTCAAGGGTTAGTTAGGACAGGGACTGCTCAGCAGCCGAGGACCTCTCTCTTGCTGTGTCCTTGCTGGGATGGGTGGTCCAGGGCGGGCTTCTTACTCCTTGGAGGCCATGTAGGCCATGAGGTCCACCACTCTGTTGCTGTAGCCGAATTCATTGTCGTACCAGGAAATGAGCTTTACAAAGTTGTCATTGAGAGCAATGCCAGCCCCAGCATTGAAGGTGGAAGAGTGGGAGTCACTGTTAAAGTCACAGGAGACGACCTGGTCCTCAGTGTAGCCCAGGATGCTCTTTAGTGGGCCCTCGGATGCCTGCTTCACCACCTTCTTGATGTCATCATACTTGGCAGCTTTCTCCAGGCGGCAAGTCAGATCGACGACGGACACATTGGGGGAAGGAACGCGGAAGGCCATGCCCGTGAGCTTCCCATTCAGCTCTGGGATGACTTTGCCCACAGCCTTGGCAGCGCCAGTGGACGCAGGGATGATGTTCTGGGCAGCGCCACGGCCGTCTCGCCACAGCTTCCCAGAGGGGCCATCCACAGTCTTCTGGGTGGCCGTGATGGCATGGACTGTGGTCATGAGTCCTTCCACGATGCCAAAGTTGTCATGGATGACCTTGGCCAAGGGGGCTAAGCAGTTGGTGGTGCAGGAAGCGTTGCTGACAATCTTGAGGGAATTGTCATATTTGTCATGGTTCACACCCATCACAAACATGGGGGCATCGGCAGAAGGGGCGGAGATGATGACCCTCTTGGCCCCACCCTTCAAGTGGGCCCCAGCCTTCTCCATGGTGGTGAAGACACCAGTAGACTCCACAACATACTCGGCGCCGGCATCCCCCCATTTGATGTTGGCGGGATCTCGCTCCTGGAAGATGGTGATGGCCTTCCCGTTGATGACAAGCTTCCCATTCTCAGCCTTAACTGTGCCTTTGAACTTGCCATGGGTGGAGTCATACTGGAACATGTAGACCATGTAGTTGAGGTCAATGAAAGGGTCATTGATGGCAACAACATCCACTTTGCCAGAAGTGAAGGCAGCCCTGGTAACCAGGCGTCCAATACGGCCAAATCCGTTCACTCCGACCTTCACCATCGTGTCTCTGGAAAGAGGCTGGCACTGCGCGAAAAGAAGCGGCTGTCTCTAGAACAGAGAGCCACCAGGGAGGATCTTAACCTGCATCTGTCTGGCGTGGGAGAATCATGGCGGCTCTTTCACTAAGCTTCTTTTTCCCAGCATTCTCTTCTGTCTACTCCGCCTACCTAATTTTCTGTCCTATGAGGGCCGAGGCAGTTTCTTTATTATTAACCAATGAAAGCAACAGCTAAGATACAAGACCCACCTCCATCACACTCACACAAAACAAACAAAAACTAGGCGTGTACCTGTATTCTTGGCATTTGGGGGTGGAGGCAGGAGGATCAAGAGTGCAAGGTCATTTTCTGTGGCACAAGGTATTGGAGCGCAACCTGAGATAAATGAGACCCTGCCTCAATTAGTATGTACATTTAAATAGTTTAGGGCTGTTGGGATGGCTCAGCTTAAAGATGCTTGCT